GGGGGGGGGGGGAAGTTTATTATTGGGGGAGGGGAGTACTTGTAGCCTTCTCTGGTGATGTAAAGCCCAAGATGTGAAAAACCGATTACATTCAAAAAGGCTTGATTTCCTTCAGTTACAACAATAACATTAGTAGTAGTGATGCTATCAAGAACAGAACCTATCAACAGTAAGTAATAACAGCAATAGTAGTAATAACCGTAGTACTGTGTCAGATGCTGGACACCTAAGGTGGGGGAACGGCCGAAGGTCAGATATTTCTGGCAGGTCCCCCAGGCCCAGGCACCGGAGCTGCTGCTACTGGGTTGCTGTTAAGGAACTTAGATTCAATGCTTATTAGGAGGGACCCCTAGAAGGGACCCCTAATCCCAATATCTGATATAAGCCTTATATAGGCCTAGTATACCCCTTATATAACCATTGAGAACCCCTATTACCCCCAATAATCTACCAGAGTCCCCATTAAGGGTCCCTCCTAAAGCCTCTGGATAAATTAAGTTACCATAATGGGTATATATAGTAAATGATAGGGTTCCCCAATATAGTAACTTAAATTAAGTTCCTTAACAGCAACCCAGGCTAGCTGGGCGATCGAATGCAGGGAAGAGCACGCTTTTGAATCGGGGCCAGAATTTGTTTTAATGATTTTCCGTGAGGAAGGTCTAGGGCATTGAAAAGTACGGTTGTCTATGGGGGCCGGAATGTTTTTTTGACTTCCATGTCTGGGTCAGGTTGAAAAATCTGCATCGCTACACACAATCCCTTTGGAGTGGAACCCAGGAAATGGAACAGCAGTATCCGCCTACCCCAAGACCTAGAAAGAGTGCTGGGCTAGCTGGGCGAAGGTCTTCACTACTTCTAAGGCCTTTGCAAATCCCAGTACGATCCCACAAAATTCCCTACGGAGCAGCTCAGGAATGCAGTGTTGAGCTCCGAAGGGATTCGGAAGGCTGCGGGAACCTCCCAAAGAGGTGGCCGAACTCGCACCCTGAACTGGTACCCGATAGGATTCAAGTTGCCGGTGCGCTGGGAGAGCAATGGTAGACGAGCATGGGCGCGGATTCGGAAAGGCTTTGTCAGTTCATGAGGTGCACCTCTGGTATCAGCTGTTGAATGTGGTAAATACGTACATTAATACTACGCCACCTAGTCTCAAGCATCCCCCCCACGGTCTCTTAGGGGGAATCTTTAATATGGGGGGGGGTTGGGGGTGTTTCATACTAGTATGCAGGGTTCAGAACCTAAACCCTTAACTGAGTGAGCCCGGGGCCATCGAGCAGGGCGAACGCACCGAAGCCGGCAGGCGAGGCTGCTCCGGAGCCAGAAGCCCTCCGGCTGGCGACGGAGCTTCAGTCACGCAAACCTTTCGGGCATTCAAATGGGTGCTTGTCAAAATTATGGCCCCTTTTGGGATCCCTATTATACTACGGCACCTAATATTTAGGGTACCCAAAAAGGGATCATAATTTTGACAGCCACCCAAATCGCTCTTTCAGGTGGGCCTGCCAGAAAATCTCGGGACCAAGAGGTGGCAGGTGAATGGCCAGGCTTCAGAAGTTTCCCACAGCTGCAGGGCAAAAATCCTGCAGGCCTTTCGGAGACCTGTCAGAGAAGAAAACTAGAGGCCTCGAGCCAGACTGGTCTACATAAGTCCAGGTCGTTCAAGGATTGGAAGTCTAGACAGGTCCACTCGATTACGGTTGGAGGCGTCCAGCCAAAGCTCCATCTGAAGAAAACAGAGGCCTCGAGCCAGACCCAGATCCAGACCCAGCCGCGGAATCCTGGCAAAATCCGTCGAGTCTCACAGAATACCATTTACAGAATTGCGTTTGGCTATTTATTTAGATTCGAAGCACCAGGCCCGGGAGGCCTGGAGCCAACCCCAACGCCCAACCACGACGGGAATACGCGAATGAGAGAACAAGTGCGCCATCAGCATTCGAAAGAACCCTAAAACCATAAAAACCTTAAGCCCTAAACCGTAAAACCGTACAAGGTCGAGGCATGGGTGGAGCGCTAGCGGGGCTAGGCTCCTGCAAGTCGGGGTGCGCGCCTGGGTGATTCTAGCACCAGCGCGCCCCTTCGCTGAGACACCCCAAGCCCTAAACCTTCTACTCTAAACCCTAACCATGAACGCTGAACTCTAAGCATGAAATCCTAAACCTTGAGCCGTAAACCGTTAAAGCTAAACCCTAAACCCTCTCATTCTGCTGGCCCAAAGAGAGCCATAGACTACATATTACCTGGGCCCTCAGACAAAATATAGAAGCCCAAGCCCCCACCATGCGAGAATGCTCTGAAAAGCTCCATGCTTTGAGAGGCCCGTAGACCCTGAAGCCATAAAGCTGGGTTTAGGTTTAAGGGTTCAAGGGTTTAGGGTTTAGGGTTTAGGGTTTAGGGTTTAGGGTTTAGGGCTAACCTGCAGTCCCTGTAGACATAGATGTCTATACATATGGGCCATAGTCTAAACTCCTTAAGGGGGGTTCTATAAGGGGTCATATAGGGGACTATTATAGGGGTTAATAAGGGGGATGCTAGGAGTTTAGACTATAGCTCGTATAGATTTGTGCATATGTTATTGTTACAGGGTCTCCTGGGTCATGCGCAACAGTCGTTATTGTGGGTTTCAAAAATCCTTTTATCAACTAATCCCTCAATCTTGTACGCCCCTATATGACCCCATCTAACCCCTACATATTCCTTATGGAAAAATGTCTCTAGATGGCCTCTATTTAGCCCTCATACCCCAAATCCTAAACCCATAAGCCCCTAACCTACATCCTGTCTTTCCCAAGGAATCACGCAGCCACAAAACCTGCACCTGAGCCTGGAGAGTGAGCTCCGCGCCGCAGGTGATCCTGGGGGGGGGCTTTAAATTTCAGGTGTTTTGGGCTTACGGCCTTTTGGGTTTGGGGTTTAGGGCTC